CCAGCATCATAGCACCTCTCGCTGCCCCTGACACCCTCCCTCACACCCGCTTCCTCTGCTGCGTGAAGGCCGGCGCTTACCGTGGCTGCACCTGGACGGTTTGAGATGATCTTGTCCGAAGGTCAGCGGGCAGCTGCCTTCATCCCTTTGCCAGCAGCCTCACGTCCGAAGGTCCTGGGTGTCTTCGGGCCAAGCAGACTGCCTGCCTGAGGCTTGTAGCTGGGTCCCTGGTGTGCCTGCCCAACGGCTGGTGACACCATTCTCCTGCCAGGATCCGACTCTCCCTGTCCTGTCCCAGGTCCGCCCCAGGACTAGATGCCACCTGCCCAATGCCGCCGGTTCTGCGCCATCTTTTTAGGGCTAATCCTTCAGGCAAAGGCCCGCTCTACCCAGCCCCAGGCCCTCTTAGCGTGAACACTGCAAACCCCTGATGGTTTCCGACGTCCAGTTCCATTCCGCGGGTGCCCATGTCTTGCTAAACCGCTGATCACACCGTTGCCATGGTGGACCTTCCAGTAGCCCACGGAGGCCAACTTCCTGAGAAGGGACACCGGGCTCTGCAGTTGGTCTTGTCCTTGCTGACTGCCCTCTCCAGTCTCGTTTCTGGCCCCCACCGCACTTCTCCCCAGGCCAACCACTTCCACACCTGTAATTGAGCAGTTTCGATTTATTTTAGATCCAGAACACCTGGGATCTTTCCACTCTCCCGCATACGATAAGCCCTCTGCCCGGGGAAGAACGCCTCCTTTCTCAACCCCATTCCAACCCAGGCCGTCTCTTACAGGAAGCCTTCCGGGGTTGCCCCCTCCACCCTGGCATCACACTGACCCCATTAGGCACGTGAGGGCTCAGTATTTGTTTTCGGATTGAGAAAGTGCTGAGGTTTGGTACTCAACAATTTTATTCTAGACGGCGGGCACAGGCTTTACCCAGGATGTTATAATGCTGAGAGGAATGACAGGCGTGGAGGTGGACCGGGGTTGTTCCACTGGGCTGTGGTACCCAAAGGACCCTGGAGGTCTGGGTGGGGTCTGAGGCAGCACCCTGCTGGGCTTGCTCCCCTGGGGCAGGTGCAGGCCTGGGCCATGCCCACCCTGGGGCCCTTGCTGGGGTGAGAAGGGCAGGAGCTCTCAGTCCTGGAGGGAGGAGGCCTGGGGAGTGGATTGGCCACTCTGACGGCCCGAGACTGAAGCAGCGCACAGGCACTTGCGCGTCTCACCTGTAGCAGCGGCCCCTGGAGACGGACCGGTGGGCGGGAGGCGCCACTGTGCCCAGGTTCCATGTCTCAGCACTCCGAGCCCCAAACCAGGACCACATTAACTTTCTGGAAACGAGGCCCTCCACGGTGAAATTCCACTGATTAACAACACCTGTTTGTGTTTCCAGATGCGTTCCCATCTCCCACTAACCAGCCGGCAGGCATCCAATGTTAAAGGTGGGGAGAGGCCTGCCTGTGAGGACCTGGCTGAGGCCTCCCTCGAGGCTCCCTCTGCGACGGAAACTCATCCGATAAATCACGGCGGCTCCTCGCCATCAGTCCTCCTCTCCCGGCGGGTCCTCCAGCCCAGACAAGCACTGGCCATATGCTCACGCCATTTGGTGCAAAAGACACGAACAGCAAAACAAGCGCCGTGCCGAGGGGGCATTTGAAAAAATCATGCTGGACGTGTATTCATCTGAAACGCGTAGAAGATATGTCCCTCTTCCTCCCCCGGGGAACAAATAATTTCTCGTGTTAGACCATCATTTTTAAAGCTATGCTCCCAACATAAGCAACGATGTCCTCCCCATATGTCCCTTGTCACTTCGCACACCTCAGATGTCTTTCGTGTCACACTGGGTGACTGAAAAGTGAAACAGAAAAGAAAAAAAGTAGAATCCTAAATGTTGTCCAGCAGGGACACCAAGGGGTCATTGCTGAGGCAGAATATTCTAAAAGCCCCCAAGCCAGACGCTCTCACGAAACCCTAAGAAAACTCAGGCCTGAAGGTCATGCCCACACCAAGTGCAGACCACATCCAAGCTAAGCGCCACTCACCCGGAAACAGCGTGTGATGCTGCCGGTTCTGCCGGAAGGACTGCTTTCCATGAACAAGGGCATCTTCAAGAAGCGGGGTCCACGTTTAGGTTCCTTAAGCCTCTGGAAGAACGTACAGTTTGTAGAACAGAGAGATTCTGGGCCAGCTAACCACCATGTTTATGCGGAAATGAGAGCTCGTTTCATTATTTACCTGAACTCAAGCTTCCCCGGAAATTAGCATCTGGAAGCCACTTCCACCGCCCCCAGGAATGTGGCCCATCGCCAGCCAAGCTGAGGACCAGCCCCTTTTCTCTGGGAAGCTCTGCTCTGCATCAGATGACAGAACACTGATCGGCCCTGCTTGACCCTGGAAATATGTTGCTGGCCACTTTTTTTCCTTACAAGGACAGGGCAGGGCAAGTTTATTGCATGACTATATTTGAGATATGCTCCCCCAGGCTCACACAATTAAAGGGGGGCCCTTCCACCAGGTGTGGGTGCCCAGCGTCCAAATCTGACATTCAATTGAGAAATTCTGCAGAAATTGTACCCAAGGCGCTAAGCACAGGCAACCCATAGACTGAGCCTTCACGGCTTTTAATAGAAAACCCAAAACAACGGTCACATGGGATGTGACTGGTTATGAAATGGTCAGATATTCTTAGGCCAGATTTAAACATTGCATGAAATACACGTTAGGGCACACAGCAAAGGAAGATTGTATGTGCACATGTATGTTTAGGATTAATGACCAGTGATCACTGAGGTTACAAGGCCTTTATATAATTACTAGAGGCCTGGTGCACAAAATTCGTGCAAGGGCCTTGACCCTGGCCCCCGCCCGCCACTGCGGGGGGGGGGGGGGGGGGGGGCTCTGCCACCTCTGCCTCAGCCCCTGCCTGCTGCGGCTTTGTCTGGAAGGACGTCTGGTCTAATGAGCATATTACACCTTTATTATTATAGATTATTATTATAGATCTTATTTAATCCTCACCAACCCTAAGGCAGGCATTACCCCCATATTACAGGTGAGGAAGCTGAGGTTCAGAGAAATTCAGAAACTTGCTGAAGGCTATGGGGACACCGACAGAGGGTTCCAGAACTTCAGTGAGGCTGTCTCTGTTTCAGTTTAAGGCATAAGAATACACTGTGGATACGTATGCAGGGAGCGTGGTTTAGAAGTCAGGCATGACCTGCGGCCAGTGCAGGTACTTCAAAGCTCGCAGTAGGTTTATAGGGTTTCAAAATAAAAGGGTTCCCCGGTTACTAAGTCAGGAAGTGCTTGAAACACAGGCTTCTTTTCCGCAGGATTCCTCAGTCTTCAATGCTACAAAATGGGTTATTGATGGCCAAGAGAACACGGAAGGCATTTTCTTTGTGAGATCTCTTATGCTTAGAATTTACTTTGGGAAAAGCTGGGGTAAAAACTTCAACTCCCTAAAACCAAATTCAGGACGAAGAAAAGCGGAGTCTCCTAATTTTGGACACAGTTGATGGCCTTCCCCCAACTTCCCCTCGGGGTTTCCTGTATTTAAATCCCAAAGTTAACTTGTTAGATTGACTGGCATTTGAAAGGACTGCAGGACGTGGCCACCACCAGGCGCAGGACTGGAAATCGGGGGACAGAGCATGAAGCCCCGTGACTGGAGATGGGCCTGGGCACGTCATGTTATTGAATATCGAATCAGGTCTCCGTGAAGTTTCAGTCAATTCCTGAATTTCCAAGGGCTTATCATGTAAGCTGGGGTCACAGGGTCCTGTCCGTCTGCCCCTCCACGTAGAACACACAGCCCCTCACTTGAAGATGAGCAGGAAGGGACCGGAAGCCCAGAGTCCACTGTCAGGGTGGACGGGACCTCGAAGACCGTCCGTCCACACGGCTGAGCTCACGGTCAGGCCACAGCCTGGGGTCTCCCTAGGTGCCCTTGATGTCTCAGCCAACACCTCTTCTCCCCACACCCAGGTTCACCTTCTTTCTTAGTCAACAAATTAATTATACTAGGTGTTCTCAACGCACCAACACTCTATCCAGAAGATTCATTTATTTCTATAATTGACAGGAAAGACTAGAACGTAATTAAAACGGGGTCTTTGTTCATTAACAATGCCTCAGTGCCTAGAAGACAACTTGGCACATAGTATGTGCTCAATACATCTCTGTTGCATTAACACTGGCACATGCCAGTGGGCTGCAGACCACACGTGTCTGTTGGCGATTTCAAAAGTTAGTCTATGACGTTCCTGGGGGTGGGGAGGGGAGCAGGGACCATCAGGCAGCTGGGCCTCAGCTCTCCACGCAGCTTAGAAAAGTCAGCGAGAAGAAATGGGCTGTCCGGCTCACTTATAATACTTCCTCTGCGTCCTTTAAGGCAGTGGTTCTCAACCTTCTGGCCCTTTAAATACAGTTCCTCATGTTGTGACCCAACCATAAAATTATTTTCGTTGCTACTTCATAACTGTAATGTTGCTACTGTTATGAATCATAATGTAAATATCTGATATTCAGGATGGTCTTAGGCGACCCCTGTGAAAGGGTCGTTCAACCGCCAAAGGGGTCGCGACCCACAGGTTGAGAACCATTGCTTTAAGGTGAACATACGGGAACTGGTACCTGGGGTTTGATAGGATATGGAAGATTTCCAACTGTTTTTAAATGCATGGATTTCAGGGCAAAGGCCACCTTCTGTTCATAAAAGAAGCAGAAAAAAAAAAGCAGTTAGTAGCTTACATTGTATCTTCAAGCTGCTCATCCCCCCCTTTAAAAAAATCATTCTGTTCTAACTTCTAAAAAACAGCTTACCTAGTTTTTGAATAGGCCACATTCACCAATAAAAACTGATTCTGTGTCATTCTCAACTTCAAACAAAACATTTGAGTTTTTTTTGAGAACATGCCACCCAATAATAGCTTTTATGTGACATTAAAAAAAAACTCACTCCAATACCAACAGACTCAACTTTATGGCACCATTCCAAAATACTAAACTTTCTTTGCCCCTTTATTTTCATCTTTTTTTTTTTTTTTGTACACATTTAAAGTATGGGCATCCTGTGAATTTCTGAAAAGCCTCATAGGAAAAGAACAACAACTACTTTTTAGGACAAAGAGTAACTCAGTTTGTAGGCAAGATGACCTCAGGCGGGCTGAGTCCTCCATGGGCTGGTCGTCTTGAACCTGGGGCGAGAATGTAGGAAGGATGCTAGTCTTCCTGGATTACTCTAGAGGCCACGGTCATGTCAGTGCGCAGACACGTGTCGTTCAGTGGTCGGACTCTAGGTACTGAGTACAACTCAACCATGACAACAACAGTCTTCTGTAACGATTTTACTCTTTTGATGGACAAATGATTGGGATACTAGACTTCGAGGTTTGTATACACCTTTTATTCATACTCTGTAAGAGAGAAGTTCTAATAATATTGAATCCCCTCTTACAAATCTCTGTATTTGAAGCTTGGAGCTCTAAGATCTGTTCTTAGCAAGCAGATGTATTTCAAGTAGATTATAAATGGGTTTTTAATTCACCACACATTTGGCTGATTGCTATGTAAGAAGACTAAGTGATGTGGGCGCTGATGGATGAGGCTGCTTGCAGGAAAATTTTTCTTGTGACACTCAGAGTCACGGCTCGCTCGGATTAGAACTGCGAGCTCTTGCCTAACTCTTCCCAGGGTGACCATGAGTAACGGGCGCCTGGACCACAGGCCTGGCGGAGGACTCGGAGTTTGGTATGCGGTGCCGGGAGGGTGTGTGAAGAGGTAGACTTAAGAGGGTGCCCACTGACAGCTTCATCCTGCAGCAGTTTCAGAGGGTGATTGCGACACAGTAACAGTCAATGACCCAGGAAGGAAACGTTTAAATTAGAAACGACTGGTATTAAAAAGCTACTGTGCACCAGGTAGGAAGGAATATGAGAATATTAATATGCCCTGAAATAGAAATAATCACTTTGCACTATGTACACCACATACAATAGAACATATTCTTTTTAACATTGCACAATATAAATATTATACACGGTGGAGTAAACTAAATGCAAAATAACTCCGAGGCACACAGAAAAAAACACGGACTAGATTGAACTCTGGTTAAAATTAAGACGGGTTAGTCAAAGGCAGTTTCACTCAGGCCGGAGAGCTCTCGAGGCCTCGCCTCACGGGCCAGCAGCCACCTCCCATGTACACTGAAAAGTCTCAGACCTCCATGGCGTTAGAGTTGATTGCTTCAAACAAAGGCTAATCAGCTAAATAATTTGAGAAAGTCAAACTGTTGCTCCCCACTCTAGTCGGTAACCCCTAAGGGTCCCTTCCGACCTCACGGTTTGGTGACGAGTGACTTGGTTAGTACACGGCTGTATTCCCCTATATCTTATAAATGACTGGGTTACTAGGAAACCACTTGAAGGAAACTAGAACAGTATTCAAGAACACCCATCACAGTGCTTAACAAGATTTAATGTACATTTATTCTTAACATGTGGAACATATAAAGATTTTATACTGAATAAATGATATTCATTAAGCCAGAGGAAAAGGAGGAATTTACATCAAGATTTTTTTCTTTTTTTTTTTAAACTACATTATCTTGAAATACAAATGTGGATTCTCGTCACTGAAAAATCTTTGAAGTTGTATTTCTTCCTTTTAGTTGTATTTTTCTCTTTTTTGTCTGTACTGGTGACCATTTTCTAAATCAATCCGTACGCAACCATTTCCACACCTTGATTCATGAAGCAAATGGTGATCAGCTGCGCTCCCGAAATAGAGCATGACTTTATACATACAGAAACTTGTACATTACCCTCTTTTTTTTTGTTTTTGTTTTTGTATTTTTTCTTTTTTTTTTTGGAGATATGGCCCTAATGAAAAAATATATAAAATAAAAATAAAAATTATTTAAAATCTACCATCACTTTGTAGTTACCACATCATGAAAAAGAAACTAAAAACTTTGTACTAAAAAAAAAAAAAAAAGAAAAAAAAGAAAAAAAAATGAGGGTATGTTTAATGTACAACTTCTATATACATCACAGCCCATAGGCAGTAAAAAAAATATTTAAAAAATGATTAAAGGAATTGTGAAGAACTGTCATGTGGAAGGTCAAAGACAGACAGCAGACATGACGTAGTGGTGAGGAAGCAATTTCCGTTGATCGTTGTCAGGTACGTATTTTCAACCTTAACTTAAAAACACCCCATTCGTATTGCTCCTAGCCTAAGGTAACCATTTTCCTGTGGAGAAACCAGTATCGTTCGCTAGTCTGACTACTGACTGACACACCTCCTTGAGCCCCGAGACCTACCCTCTAGCAGTTTCTATTGCACAGAGCTTTGGGCGATGGGACAGCTTTATTTCATTATCTGAAGGATAACACGCCTGGGATAGGGATGGGTTTTCACCTTTTTGCCTCAGTGTGGTGAAATTTTCCCATCTTAGCATCTTTTGCCACAACTTTTTTCTTTAAAGTCAATTTGCTTCCCAAAAAATGCAATACAACATGGAAAAGAAAGAACATCAAAAAGAAAATCTGTGAAAAACAAAAAGTGACCTCTGAATACACTGGACAGCAACTTTGGTTAAAAAAAAAAATAAAAAAACCCAACAGATGTACTTATACACACAGACAGCAAATATTAATTTCATAACTGTTCGAATTAATTATCTCTTTAATTCCCAATCGGTAAATATGAACGGGGCAGAGGAGCACACGTTTTCTTTTCCTTCTTCCTACGCTGGAGAAACAGAACAGAAAACAGCCGGGTGTACGGGAGCCTCAGTCGTCACTCACACGTGCGGCCTCCTCACCGGGGTCATAACTGCCCGATCTGAAACAGAACGTCACAGATGACGGACGCCACCAGCGAGTTCAGCACGGCCGAGATGGAGATGTCCAGCAGCCGGCCCTCGTGCAGCAGGAACTCGGAGCGGTTCTCGTCCACGCGGGCCATGGCCAGCAGCGCCTTGGCCGCGCGGCACATCATGTCCACGCTGGGGGGCTCCAGCGGCGGGGGCTGCATGTGCATGAGGCTGTGCTGGCTCTGCTGGTACTGGGCCATCGTCACCCCATCCTCCAGGAAGCTTATCAAGTTCCCGATGCTTCCCTTCTGCACAGCTATTGCCCTCGCGGCCAGCGTGTCCCCTTGGGCCAGGTTCGATAAGAGCGCCATGGACATTTCTCGACAGACCGGGTTTTTGCGGTCGCCCACGTACCTAACTAACGTCGCATAGAATTTCTCCTGCCGGCTAAACGGAGGCGTGGCCAGGATCAGGTCCACGTTATTGTCCTGGATGCTGAGTTTACAGAGCGTCTCCAGCACGAGTCTCTGCGGCGACAGCACGGAGTTGGGTCCCACCGTGGGGAAGGGGTCTTGCGCCTCCGCGGAGGGGCACACCATCCAGTGCAGCAAGCCGTCCAGGATCGGCAAGCAGATGCTCTCCGTGTACGCAGACAAGTCCAGCTGCCCGGAAATGTTGGCCAACGTGACCAGCGTGTTATCCCGTAAGACCTCGAGGCAGTCCCACCACCACTCGTCTTTGCTGCAGGCCACCCCCTTGTCCTCGTCCTCCTCCTTCTCGTAGGTCTGCGGCGCCCGCTTCCGCTCCGGGTGCTCGTGGTGCAGGAGGATGAGCTTCCCCAGGATCAGCACCAGGCCCGGGTGTTTGGACATCTCGGCGTCGTTGCCAGGCACGAAGGACAGGCTGCGGACGATGTTGGACACGCAGATGCAGCGCTTGGCCAGGGAGTCCTGCCAGTGCGCCACGGTGCAGAGCGGCGTCTCGTCGCGGCTGCGCGGCTCGTCCTCCAGCAGCTTGATGTTGCGGTGGCTCCGGGCCTGGTGGATGCCGAAGGGGAACTTGCCGCTGTCCGGCTGGGCCCCGGGGTTGGCGTCCTCCGGCAGCGCCCCCGGCCGCGCAGACAGGACGTCGTCGATGGTTGCGATGATGCTTTTCTCTGGCTGCTCCTCCAGCTCCCCCTTTCCCTCCAGCTCCTTCTTGGGGCCCGCGGCGCTCGGAGCGGGCGGAGGCCGCCTGCGCGGAGGGATCTCCATCTTGCTCTCGAAGTGCGTCTGGATGTGCTCCGTGGTGTCCCCGCCGCCCAGCTGCCAGTGCAGGAGCCCGCTGCTGAACTCCTGCACGCGGCCCAGCCGGTCGGAGCGGTCGACCACGAACAGGTTGTTCTTTTTGACGATCTTGATGGGCAGCTTGTCGAACTTGCTGGCTTGCCTGGGCTTCTCCTTTGGCTCGGCCGCGGCGTCGGAGGGGCTCAAGGCCGCGCTGCCCTTCTCCTCGGCCTCGGCCTTTGCACCGTCTTCCTCCTCTGCCTCCTCCTCCTCGTCGTCCTCCTCGTCCTCCATGCATTCCGCAGCGTCCTCCTCCCGCCCACACTCGTCGGCCCAGGCCTGGCCCTCATCTTTCTTCACTGCGTTATGGTCAAGTGCTTTTTGGCTGGGGTCTCCCACTTCATATTCCATAAGAATTCCAAAAATGTCAATCAGGCATTTCCTAAAGTACTCGACTAAAAGTTCCAGAAATCCGGACAACTGCAGAGGAGAAAGAGACCAAGAACAGGCTTAGTGTCAGGGAATCGGCCAGGCCTGCGACCCTGGTAAGCCCTGACAGCTAGCAATCGTCTGGGAGGACTCTCCCAGGGCCCACTGCGTGTCTGGCTAGGCCCAAACTACTCACCCATCACTACTGTCTTCCTGAAGTTCTATTATTAACTAAACCGGTATCTGCCCTGTTTCTTATGTCCTGCTTACTTTCCTGCACTACCGACATGAAAACTTACCTGTTTATTTCATTTTTCTAAGATTACCCACCCCCTCCCAACACAATGCATTCATTACCATAAGAGCAGGGAAGTGAGCCTCTTTCCTATTATTTTATCCGAGACTCTGCCTGCCTGGGTTTTCACTGTTGTCATCATCGAACTGGATGGTTATTTTTGTCTCAGGTGCCACAGGTCATGCTGATTTACTCTTTGCAAGAGGTATTTTTAGCAACGTAGTAGCCCATAACAGAAAATTAAAAGCAAATCAATTGAGTCCCCGATAAGTGGATTAGAATGTTTCCTTGAAGGCAGTTTTACCTTCTAGCTATTAGAGGCTCCAGCTGAAGACAAAGCCACGAGGACCAGTTTTGTTTCTTTTAAGCACATGTCTGTACTAAGAAAAGCAACATCCTCCCCAATTAGCACCCGCTCAGCTCCCCTCCCCCAGAGTGCCACTGGCATCTTGGGGACGATAAAGCACCAGGAAGAAAGAAAGGGTTCTTCAGTGGAAATGTGCGGCAGGCAACCACTGTCCTAGCTGCTGCCGGCTTCCGAGCGGAGCGTGATTATCACGTGAGGGGAATCGGAGAGCAACCAGAAAGCACCGCCCTCAGGGCACAGGCAGGGTTTCCCCAGCGCAGGCGTGGGGTGTCCCCCCGCCCCCCGCCCACCCCTCCGCGGAGCCAGACCTCCTTCCGGGGCAAGGAATGGGAAGCGGTAGAGCGGCCCTGCCGGAAAGGTGGGACCCACAGCAGCTCACCTCCTACAGGATACAGTGCATCACTCCAGCAAAGGACGCACGTGTTTTAATACTTATTTTCAGTTGAAACGAACTTTATGTAATGTTTATGACCTTATTCACACACTTCCTATCACCCGAGAAACTGCCTTTCAGGGCTACAATGAACACTTAAATGAGAAGAGAGGGAGGTTCTGGTCCTATTTCAATAGAAGCAAGGAATTAGATGTTTGGGCCTTTTCACCAAAAGCAGTTGTTCACACACAGTAGGGAAAATACCCCTTTCTCATGTTTGTTTCTGAAGATTTCTTTAAAAGTCCATAGTGAGGGGACCCTTGGGCGTTTCTCCTAACCCTCAGCTCCCTCGCTCTGTGAGCCGTTATGCTGGAATCTACTCTAAACCTAGCGCAGCGCAGAGGAGGGCTGTCAGCTCGCGTCCTGGCTTTAAAGGCGTCAGCAACCTGGAGGGGCGGAGACAGGAGCACACCAAGAGGCGCGTGGCCAGGAGTTCATGACTATTTCAGCTGGGTGGGCACATGGGGACTCATTAGACTGCCTCCTCTACTTGTGTAGTCTGTGGACGTGGAGGGCTGGCTGTATGCGTTGATCTACACTGTTTATATAGGGACCTGGGCATCCGCGGACTTAGATATTCATGGAGGTTCGGTGTCCTGGAATCCACCCTCCATGGAAACTAAGGAACAACGTATGTATCTGGGGAGTCAAAGTTATATGCAGCTTTTTGATTGTGTGGGGGTACCTGTAACCCCTGCGCTATTCAAGTGTCAACAGTATACTATGTATCTTCTAAATATAAAATTTCTCTTTAATTTTCCTTTTTAAAAAACTTTTTAGTTAAGAGAAGGGTGAGGTCCCATTGGAAAGAATAACACTCCATTGCAACCCACTCAATTTCCATCACCGACTACGGACATAACTTTATGTGGCATCTGAGTTAATTCACATTGGGCTGCTAATATTCATTCTAAACAGCAAATTAATTTTACTGTCATCCATCCCATACGCACATGCACACAGGCATGCACATGGTCATGGTGTTCTTATGAGACATAGGTATGTGTAAATTTATATAAAGACTGAAATGAATTGTCATTCTGCACTGAATTCTCGGGCAACCACACATTGATTGATGTTGGTGATAAGGAGGGCCAGGCGCCGAGCGCCAGCATTAGTGAAGCATTAAGCACCCCTTGGTTCTCGTGCTCTGCTTCGGTCCTCGGCTCCACTGGTGCGAGCTCACCTGGGAGAGATTGAACGTAGCGACAGTGCTGTCATCATACAGGAGGATGTTTATAGTGTCCAAAGCCCAAGTACTTTCAGCCAAGAGACCTGACTTCAGGGACATCATCACACGCCAGGCCTCCGGGGTAACTAAAAACGGGGAAAGAACAGGATGTGATGAATATTAACGCCATGCATGAAAGAACAGAAAATAACAAAGAATAAGAGAAAAGAAATGGTGGTAAGGACTGGCTTTAAATAACTGTCCTGAGGGATTGTTCGACATGATCACTTCCAGATTTGAAGCGAGGTGATGGCTGTACTAAGACACTTTGGTCTTGAAGGCCTTTTGCTTTGCTGGTTGAACAGGAGCCCACACGCTTCTCCAGGAGGCTGTGGTTCAGCACAGCCCCGCTTTTTTCCTTTACCCCCTAACAGATGCATCCGTTTCAATAACCGAGTCAAACCAAACAATGCTACTTGTCCTTGTTGCCTGCTCCATTCACAAATGTCTCAGCACGGGGGTCTTTGGAAGGCTGGCGAGTATGCAGAGTATAAGCCAAACTTCAATCCCAACCGCAAAGTCCTGGCTTTCCCATGCCGACCTCTGTTTCTCAGCTCTGGCCCTTAGGACACGCTGTGGACAACCCCAGCGCTTTGATGGTCCGGATTTTTCAGGAGCTGAGCCTGAGCCGGGAGATGGGACATAGAGAGCTGCACTTTAGTCCTCTCCATTCCTGTCACTGAGGAAGACAGAGCCATGTGATAGGAAAAGAGGGCTAGGAAAAGAGGCCATCATCTGCCAATTTCAGGGGGGGCCATCTCAGGAACCTGGGAGGGCACATGGTGTGAGTGGACCTGCCCAGCCAGAACTCACCACAGCCACAGCCTCACGTCGGGAGGGGACCGTGGATTTCCACCTTTATTTTAATTTTGTCTACTTTTCAATTTTTCTAAGATAGGCACATATTACTTTTATCATAGAAAAAGCAAGCTTCCTTTTTAAAATGAGGAACATAAATTTCTCTAGACTACAGACAAATACTGGTATAACATGTACTAAGAAACTTTATATAAATTTAAATATTTATTTAAACGTGTACACACACATAAACACAAATACGTGTGCATATTTTTACATCTATTTCCATATGAAAATGGTGCTCTGAGTCTGTAACTCTATCTCTTGCTACCCTCCTGCACCCCTTTCTCTACAGGTCCTTACAGTCCAATGAGTGGAAACATCTTTAACATTTTTCTAATCATTGAATATGATTTCATGTCAAGTGATTTTGAGATTTTTGAAAAGAATCTTTTAGTATAATCAAGATCTTTAATTCCCTTTGCTGTACTGAAAGTGCTTAAAAACTAACGCAGAGAAACTGTGTACTCCCAGAATGGGATGTCTCCTTCGTGTTCAGAAGGCCCCCAGCAGGACCGACGAGCCCATCAGTGGTAACTGAAGCAGCCCCCTGGCCGGGTCGACCAGTGTCCTCCCGTTACACGCACCCGCAGGTCGCAATCCCTATCTGCCCACATATCACGTTCAGGCTTCCCCTCTCCCAGGGAAACCCACTGCCCACCTCTGCCTTCGAGCCCCACAGCTGTTCTAAGCACGTGGTGCAGAGAGAAAGTGCTTGCTTTAGGTCAGATCTTTCGGCCAGAAGCTAGTCCACCCCCCCTCCCCCCAGCACCACTCCCACGGAAAACACCGTGACCAGGCTTTCCCCTGGTGCTGCTGCTCACTTCAGATTAGTGAGTTATTACCACCACTGCTCCTCTCAGAAACATGGCAGTCTGTACTCATGGGTGGTTCACTCCTTTGAGATCAACAGCAAGAACGTCTGAACTAAAATGTAAATTCTGGCCACACGGGGCTTCCTTGGGGAGCAGAGCTGAGTGCTTACCGATGTCCTTCGAGGTAATCTTCCGCCTCTGTTTCAAGACCGGCTGGGACGCCTCCACGGAGCCAGGAGGGAAGGTGATCTCCCTTCTGATCGGGGGCGGCTGGGGGGGCGGCCCCGTGACCTGGGGCGCGGGGACGGTGGGCATGACCTTCTGCATCTTCATGGAGGGCAGGAAGGGGGACTTGCTGGGGGACATGCGGCTCTCCAGGGCGCGCGGGAAGGCGGCGGGGCTGGGCGCTCGGGAGATGTGGTTTGGCAGTGACGGCGGCGTCTGGTAGGACGACTGAGGCGGGCGCGTGATGGGCTGCATGGAGGCCGACGAGGACATGTAAGGCTGACGCTGGCTGACGTGAGAAGGCCACTGGCTCTCGTGATTTATCCTCTGATCAGGGACCATCATGTCATCCGTGCGGCTCATGCCTGGGTAGGGAGGGGCCTGGGCGGGGCCGCCGGGGCCCTGCCTGCCCTGGTAGGGGTAAGGCATATCATTCCGAGCCGCCCACAGGCTCTGCTGTGGCCCTTCCCCGGAGGCGGGCTGCAGGGGGCCGCCCATCATTTGCGGGGGGAGGCCGTGCGGGGGCATCTGCCCCGGGCCCTGCACTCTCTCTCTGCCGTAGGGGTAGGCGTACTGGCCCTGCAGGGGCCGGCGCTCAGGCCCGGAGTAGGAGCTGCCGTACTGGTTGTACATCTCGGGCTGCTGGCTGCCGAACTGCACGTTGTACATGTCCCCCTCGTGGCGCTTGGCGGGAGGACCGTACATGCCGTCCATGTGGCGCTTGTAGTTCTGAAATTCACACAAAGGCAAATCGCACTCACGTGCTTTTCCAGGAATAACCACACACTCCCCTTATGCAAAAGTTATCACGTGGCGGATGTTCACTCCGAAGTGGACATGGGAAGCTGGCGTAACTGAGGACTAACGATTTATGTCTCATTTCAGTGTTGCACCCCCACCCCCATGCCAGCACCCACGGACCTCCCGTTTATTTCATTGCTTGGTGTTGTCTGTGGGATCGGGGGCCTGGAGTGACGCTGAGGGGACCCAGCAGGTAGAAGGATATTCCGAGGGCCACCCTGAGAGCGTTCTGGGTTCAACAATTCCTTAGGCCTAACTCTACAGAAAAGCCTCCCCAAAGGATCTGGCTCCTCAGACTGGACCTATGCTACCGTGACACCCACATTCCATGGCCTGCACCCCCACTTCCAGCTTGTCCAGGTCAGACTACCCAGCCTGAGGACAGGCTGGGCGCAGCCGGTTCCTCAGCTCCTGGTCGGGGGGTGTCTCCTGATGGAGTGAGTGAGATGCTGACATGGGAACTGAACTTTCACCTCATTTGAAAACCGTTAGGATCAGTTGGTTTAATAACACAGCCCACTGTAGATGCACGCGCCGGTAAAATTAAATACATGTTTGACCCCATTTGACACGCGGTCTTAGGCCTTGGAGTGTGTGGAAGTTGCCTTCCTGTGTGAAAGCCTAGCCCGACAGCCGTCCTCTGCACCCGCAGTATCGGTGAGCTGGTCCCGCACAGCCAGCCTCTGGGCTGCAGGGCTGCTTGGACCAGCGCAACCTATCCAGCCGTCAAATGCAGTCAGTTAATATCTGCTCTTTAAAAGCCAACCACTTTCACTTAGTAGGTAATTTTTAGTTGTTTTTTCCTACGTCCTCTTTAAAATATATCCACATATTTCTGGTCTAAAATGGCGTTTGATCGGACAGTACACACAGACGTTTAAAACATACTTAAGCTGGGCTTGTTACTATTTGCACGGGCGCATGTCCTTAACTTCTTATAACACATTATACTTGCTTGGGATACCCTACATCAAGAGCTGTTTTTAATTTGCTGGCTTCCAAATCTGAGACTATGTTCTCGCACAAACAAATAACATTGTGATTGCTCAACAAATGCTAATCATTTTGGTTATACTTGCTAGAACTCTCCGCAGTGCCAGGAGTTTGCGTCTGAACCAGAAGGCACCGGGACACGCCCACTCACCACTCACCGGCTGCTGCGGGTACAGGCCCGGCTGGTGTCCTCCATACGGCGGCTGTCCTGAGGGTGGGCCTTGGCCCGGGTACTGCTGCCCGTAGGGTTCATGCCTGGAATGATGCATTCAAAGAAAACTTCCTTTGCAAAGGACCTCAGGCCACGGGAGAAAGGAACAGTCTATTTCCTGAAACTCTATACTCAACAGCTTTTCTTCCCCTCACTCGCACACCTTCCAGCAGAGGCAGTCCGAGCAGCTGCAGAAGAACTCTTAGCAAAAGGATGGGAACACCCATTCTGGGACTGCTGCCAGTTTCCTGGGCAGTAGGTGTGAGGAGTCCCGGCTGGCGGGGCAGCACCCTCTGCCTTTGAGTCAAGGCCCTGCCCACCCACTGACACCCTGGGAGTGCCATACAGGGTTGTGCTGCGGGTATTCACGAAAGGAAGAAACAGCACAGAGTCGAAGAGTCCAAGCAGAGGACCAGGACATGAACATACAATAATGGAAACTAGTTCTACTTCTCCCTTTCTCATTATGAATAAGAAATGTTCATTTTTAAAGGTATACATCAATATTAATGCAAACGATATTGAGTTAGCTAATAACTGTATGGATGTTAGTGCTCAAAATTTCAAAGTCCTACAATCATAAAAGGCTATAGAAAAGAATAACAGAAATTATTAAAATGTATTACTATTAAATCTTAAAATGGGAATGAGCAATACATTTATTTTTTCAGCTAATATACTGAGAAATTATAAATACCATAAAATAGCATGTTTAAAAAACCCCCAATAAGTTTGAAATTTAAAAAAATTAACTGGTTTAGTTAGTACATTGATCTTGTAAGAAATAGAATAATTAAACTGAATATATTCCTGAACTGGTCAGTGAATAAGACAGAAAATAAATGAACTTTTAGACTATCATATGTAAAACAGATACGGGAATTTTTGCTAACAACATTGATATCTAGAAGGAAGCTTATAGTTAGGAAAAAAAAATATAATTGACATAGATAAAATTTAAGCTGAGCAACTTTATAGAAGAGAAAACTCAGCAATGAGGTAAGCCCCTCTCTCTGATGCGGTAGAACCAAAATGACTTCTACACCTAGGCTACACAACCTTCTTCCTATATTTGCTTTGGTTCCTTTAAGAATATATGTCCCATGCCCTGACCAGTGTTACTCAATGGTTAGAGCCTTGGCCTGTGCACCAAGGGGTCCTGGGTTCGATTCCTGGCCAAAGGCACATACCCGGGTTGCAGGTTCGATCCCCGGCCCCAGTTGGGGCATATGCGGGAAGCAAATGATCAATATAATCAATGTTTCTCTCTCCTCTCTTTCTTCCCTCCCTTCCACTTTCTCTAAAAATCAATGGAAAAAATATCCTCTGGTGAGGATTAACAACAACAAAGGAATATATGTCCCAGGACAACTGTTTCCCTTCTGATCATCAGCCAACACACACACACACACACACACACACACACACACACACACACACTCACACACACTCCCGAGCTGTGCCTGGACCCGCAGGAACACGGACACTGTGACCATCGCCGCCAGGGCTCAGGAGTGTGTGCTGGGAGCACCGTTTCTGGTGAACGGCTTCATCTTTGCCTGAGAGACACTCACCTCCGGTCGTAGGTGGCTCCGTAGGGGAACTGCTGCCGCTGCCCCATGCCCAGGCCGGACATGGCCCCGGAGGGACTCTGGTTGTACATGTCCTGCATGCTGCTCGTGGGCATCGGGCCCTGCGACATGAAGGGCTCGCTGCCTCCAGGCACTGGGACGTGGTGAAGAACAGATGACAGTCAGCATTCCCAAAGCCCAAGGCCCTGTCTAGCCATTTGTTATTGTTATTACGGCAGATATATCTTATCCTTATATGACCAACAATATGAATGAAAGAGCGTAAGGTCTACAGTCAAGGTGGGCCCTGTGGGCAGAGCCCTAAGATGGACCCCAGATCGCCACCCCATGTACACGCCCCACACGGCCCTCCGAGTGTGGGCAGGACCCCTGAATTCAGGGGGATAACCGGAGGAGAGACTGTCAGGTGGGCCCTTTAAATTGCCTCTAAAGGCCGGAGACAGATGAGTCAGAGGTGCCCCCCTGCTGGTCCTGAAGAAGCACCCGCCTTGCAGGGGAGAGGGTCATGGATAAGAACGGGCGGCAGCCTCTGGGAGCTGCCCAGACCCTCAGACGACGGCCAACAGGACCCCTCATTCCGCAGCTGCAAGGGACCGAGTGCTGCCAGCCACCTGCACGAGCCAGAGGTGCCGAGCCCCAGAGGAGCTGAGCCTGCCTGACACCGGATGCCTGCGTGAGCGAGCGGGGCTGAGCGCGCAGGAACCGACATCAGTTTATGCTGCTTTAAGCTGCCAAGTGTGTGGTAACATTGAAAACGGGCAAGTTGGCACATTTCTGAGTTGACTTCCTTGTCTATAAAATGGGTCTGGAGAGAGAGAGAGATGAGATACTTGCAGAGCTAGTGCCCATCCCTGATGGGGAAAGTGAAAACCTCGACACAGACACCCACCCACCGACCCACTCCAAAAGCAGGATAAAGGAAGTCACTAGGGAGTTAATAGCTCCAGAATGGAGGAGATGCACTATTTCGATCAGGGGTAGAGCGACAATTAGGTCAAATGTACAAATGAGCATCAGCTCAGCGCCTGAAGGAAACTGGGTCAAGCCCAGAAACTAGCCTGTCGGCAAATTACACATTTTAATGCAAATCTTAATTGATATGTAGTACTACCACCTTCTTCATCCCATGAAGGTTACTTCTATCTTACATGAGGAAAAAGCTGATTAAAGTTTTGTGAGCTGATAGATTTGTTAGGCTGGCAGAGAGGTGCAGACAAAGAAGCCGGAAACTGCTGGCCGGTATTCTTTACAATGGCTTTCACATTCTTTATCTTATTTGATCTCCATCAACCCTCAGTTGAACCAGTTTTGATGTTATTTTCCATTTTATAGATTTAAAAACAGAGACAGACAGAAATTAAGGGGGATGACTAAAGTAACTTAATTTCCCTATATACAAAGAGTTCTTAAAAACCAATAAGAAAAAAAAATCAAATGAAAAAATGGGAAAACACATAAATGGATATTCACAGAACAAGAAAAATAAATGGCTGATAAATATATATAAAAAGATGTATGGCCTTGCCAATAATTAAAGAAATCCGAGTTAAAACAATAACGAGGCCTTTCCCCCCTCCCAATCTGACCGGCAAATACTAAAACGACTGATAATAATCATCTTTGGCATGAGAGTGAGCACCACGCACTCCCCCATCTCCATGTTGAGCATTAAACTGGCACAGCTGTAGCCAGCACTTGCCCACTAGGCTGGACTTTGGGCCTCCCCACAGAAGCAACAAGGACAAAGAGCTGGGTTTATGTCGGCAGTGAAATAAAAAAATCAGAGTGCCACCAAGTCCGCTGACAGAATATGGAGGAATGCAAAACGTTACTGTGGCAGGGGAAGGGCTGCGAGAAAGCCTGTCTCCCGGGGCTTTTCTGTTTATCTGCTTCAATTTGGTACTAAATCCACCAGCGGAGCACGTGAGCTGAAGTACACTTCCTCCCGAGCGGCGGTATCGCTTCCACAATCGATGAAAACAAGTTCTATGGCTGCCCAGGGCCTGGCGAGGCAGTCTGCTGCCATCCCACCCTCCACAATAAAGGAAATGTGGGCACAAGGAAACAAAAGAAGTACGATCTCGCGGTCTAACAGCATGTCGGTAGGAAGTTCATAATAACTTTTGAAGCCAGATTCCAAATACTACTAATTATTTTTCCATGTTATTATGGTCACATTTTCAGTCTAAAATGTGAAACCACCACCAACAGCACTAACAAAATGTTCTTTCTAACATCGCACACCACTAAGAAAAACAGCTACCTCCAACGTTCACAAAGCCTTTGAATTTCCGAGTTTATGGATTTATTGCAAGTTCTGCAAAATCTTTACTTGGATTAGGCAGCTCTGAAGCTTGAAAGGAAAAAGTATAGATTGTCTTGCTTTATGTAACAGATAAATCTGAAAGTTACACCGTATAAAATACAGTTTGTGGTTTAACGTGCTTTTCTATGAGGAGCTGGTCCTGGTCTGCACCATCCCCCTAGCACCTAGCCCCGTGCCCAGCCCAGGCCCCGTGCCCACCACCGCGCCCATGCCTGGTGGCATTCAGAGCACGCTTGCTTCCTGTGCCAGTCCTTCTTCTGTGGCCTGTATGTGCATTACTCCCATAATACTCATGGCACCCTGTATGCAGGTCCTAGTAATATCAATTTCTAGGTGAGGAAACGAAGCTCAGAGATGCCAAGTACTTTCTCCAAGGCTAGAAACTCAGTAAACAGGAGCTGGGGCTGAACTCTGTCAAATGCACGAGGGAATGGTGGTGGGACGGCAGAGAGGAGGCTCCGCGACCACGCCATGCAGAGGCGCCTCTGCACCTACCTTTTCTCATTCCGCCAAAGGGGTCCTTGTTGGGCTCATAGGGCACCCTGCCCATCACGTCAGGCATGCTCATGCCCTGCTGGTACGGGGTGCTCGGAGTCATGGAGTTCCGTTTTGGGAACGATGAGTCGCCCGCGTCTGAGAATGGGTCGTGCACACTGACTGTACTGCTTCTGAGCGGATGGGAGAAATGAAAGCTTAATGTCAGAGCAGGAAGCGTTACCTCCAAACACGTATTCAGAAAACAAGCTACTCTTGAAATCAGTAAATGTAAAAACTATCCAAATAAATTACCACTAAAACTAGTAGCAGTCAACATTTAACAACTCACTAGGGAACACCATCTGTGTCCTCTATGAGGTTTGCTGCAGAAAATGAAGATAGGCAAGTCTGATTCTGCATGCTCACAGTTCTTTAACATACCTTCCACCTTGCATTGGGGTCATCTGTCCATGAGGGGTGGAGGCCGGAGTAGGTGGCTTCAGGTCACCTGGAACTTCTGCCATCGAATTACTGCCAGTTGATTGGGGGGTCTGTGGACCTTGCAAGGATCCTGAATTAGCTGATAGTGGTAGGTGCCAAGAGAAAATGGGGAAAAAACAAGGTTATCAAAGTAAGATCATCCTTGCTAGTTATTAAAAAAAAAAAAAAAAGACAACAATACCCATTGCTGGTGAGGCCTGAGTAAAATTAGTCACTCTTCTATTTTTTATAGAGGTATAATGGACATATTCTAATATTTTTAGGAGTACAATGTAATAATTTTGACATTTGTAACTATTGCAAAATGATCACCACAGTAAATCTAGTTAAAATCCTTGACCATACACCATTACAATTTTTTTTCCTTACACATTATTTGTAGTGAAAAGTTTAACTCTGGAAACATACTTTATTTGTGAGCCATAAAACAGTTACACTTTTGACCAGGTAATGACTTTCCTGGGTAATAATACCAAGAAAATAATCTAATGTAAAGGAAGTTTTAGGCAGAAAAATGTTTATTTCAGTGTTGTTTATAATGTAGATAATTTAAATGTCTGAGAATAAGGAATAATGGGATGAAAATTTTGGTATATCAATTTGATGGACTATTGTGCTGTTTTAAAAAAATTAGAAAAATTAGTTCTGGTCTTACTTTTTAACTTAAGAAAGTTTAAGTTGAAAAGCAATGACACAAAATAACAACGGGCCTTTTTCGTATTTTGATGCCTTCTAAATGTCTACAAGTATCTATGCTCTGTCATTAGCAGTGATTTTTGGAGCTATGAAATTAGATTTGTGACTACACAACACAATATTGGGTTGGAATTCATTAATATCATTATCGGAGTTTATAAGGCTTGGCTTTAACTATAATTACATTATAGGAATAGCTTAGAACTGAGTAGATCTTTTAAAAATTTAAGCAAGGAGTCTTGAAAATATTAACCTCACCTTATAGGAAAAACAATATTTTAAGAGCTCCTGCTTTATCATTGATCATAGATATTGGTTTCATTTACTAATCACTTATTGAATAAACAATGGGCTCACTCTATTGCAGGCTCTTTTCCATCCCCGAGTTCCACCCGTGCACCAAACTGACAAGAAAAGACAAACATCTCTGCCCTTGTGCAGTCTACAACGAACACTTTCAGAACTGTCACACATGGCGGATTCCTGGCTGCTGGTACATGCTACATCTACAGTTCCTTTCCTGTGCAGCGCCCAAGGCTCATGAGCGACCACCATCCTTGTTGTACTTTAGAGGAAACAGAGTTAAACTGGTCACTAGCGAGTGTGCTATAAAGGCGACGGGTCTATCACTCCTACTCAGCCAGCCCCAGCCATGTGAGCACAGCCATACCCAGGTGTGAGCAGGGCCATGCCCAGCTGTGAGAACAGCCATGCTTAGGTGTGAGCAGGGCCATGCCCAGCTGTGAGCACGGCCTTCCCTAGGTGTGAGCACAGCCATGCCCAGCTGTGAGCAGGGCCATGCCCAGGTGTGAACAGGGCCATTCCCAGCTGTGAGCATGGCCATCCCCAGCAAGATCAGGTCTGTCCAGGTCCCACCTGGTCGGGGGTGAGTACTGGTGACAGCCAACAGGCTGTGTTCTGTGCAATGTCTTCCCTGGATGCCCAGGACTAGTGTGATTCTGGGAAGTTCTCAGAGACGCGGGAAGACTTCCTTGTAATGTATCTTTTTAGATGTAGACATCTTAAAAATACAAACTTACTAACTCATGCTTATAAACCAGATTTTGGTGAAACCCTAGAAATGCATATTTAAAAATGTGATGAGAGAAAAAGCAGTCTTTATAAACACATAGGGTAACCCTACAGACAGGAGCTGGCAGGAGCGATGCCTGGTGTTCTCCATGGAGGACTGGGCTGCTCGCAGCCTGCACGCTTCCTCGGAAACATGGCTCACAGGCTGAGATTTCAGAATGACCCTTATTTACAAGTATTCACATTTACAGCTCATAAAAAAGGGAAAGTTCTTCCCTCTTGCCAGAGTTTCTTCCTTTGCTTTCAGGAAAAAAAATGAATGCAACCTCCTGAAGCTCCATTAATAGAGGCTGGCTCGCTCTCTAGGATGTCCCTACCTTTTGCCAGAAGCTACAAATGTATACTCGAAAGTAAACAATGGAAAGGTTATTGAAGGTTAAGTACATTCACACACTTCAGACTGTACAGCCAGACTCCTGGCTGGGAAGATAATTTACACAGCACGAACCCGGTGCCCTACTTCTGGCTGGGGTTTCGGGAAGTAGGGTGGGGAGAAGGAAGAAGAGCTGATCTGTCCCAGGCCTGCAGTGACTAGAGGTCACCCAGAGGGCACTGCTGTTTATAACCCGAGCCCCTTTCTCATTTATCTTCCACTGAGGATTCCCTAGTTGGACCCATGACAGGTTTTGTGACATCACCTGTCAGCTAATAATAGAAACGCAGTCAGCCACCTGCCAGGCAAAGATGGATGGGTTTTTGGTTACAGACTCACTAATTGAATGTGGAGCTTCCGTGCCCCGCCCTCCCTGCTCCCCCAGGCAGGCCCTGCCCGTCCCTCCCCCGCTGGTTCCCAGGCCGCCCCGGCCAGCTGGGTAGGAAACTGCTGTGACTGCTCATCAGAAGCCCACAGCTTTTATAGTTTTATTGTAACGAGAGCCCCACTGGGCCGGAGAGATGCCCCTGTACCAGGCCTTGGCCCGGTTTCACTCGGGGCCTTCTTAGCTGACTCGCCCCAGGGGCTGCAAGACTGGGGTGACCCGATCTCTCCGGGAACCAGAGGCCTGTCCACAGTGGAGATCCCGATGGCCCCAGAGGCCTGAGGGGTGACACCTGCAGGGCTGATAGCACTGAATTTCAGACCCGTACAGCCACATCAAATCAAAATGAATACAGATGGATGACTTAGAGCAGCAGTCGCCAACCTTTCAGACCTCACGGACCACAAGTGGCCCGCGGACCACCGGTTGGTGACCACTGCTCCAAAGGTTTCCTTAAACCAGCGGTCGCCAACCTTTCAGACCTCACGGACCACTGGTTGGCAACCGCTGACTTAGAGCGCTCTTACAATACAGCCAATGATCTAGGATTTAAGCTGGTTTAGTGAGCATTTAAACCAGGGGCGGGGAACTCTAGCCCGCGGGTCCGAGAAATCATTTGACCTGGCCCTGCCAAGGCCTTAGGGGTGAGTTAATTAAATGTTTGACCAAATAGAGCAGGCTAATTTTTAAGTTGATAATTTTGTATGGCCTGCGAATGATATAAACATCCAAATGGCCCTTGATAAAAAAAAAGGTTCCCCTCCCGATTTAAACAAATAATCTAGAACAGTGATGGCGAACCTATGACACACGTGTCAGAGGTGACACGCGAACTCATTTTTTTTTGGTTGATTTTTCTTTGTTAAATGGCATTTAAATATATAAAATAAATATCAAAAATATAAGTCTTTGTTTTACTATGGTTGCAAATATAAAAAAATTTCTATATGTGACACGGCACCAGAATTAAGTTAGGGTTTTTCAAAATGCTGACACGCCGAGCTCAAAAGGTTCGCCATCACTGATCTAGAATGTTTTGTAGGAATCTTTTAACTTACGTTTGCCTGGATATGCAGGTAAGGAGTCAACTACAATTATGTGCCCATGGGAAAAACTGACCTCAAAGACACACATTTTGGCTGAAATTTAGTTTTTGGAAATGTTATAGTATGTGAGACCCTGACGAGGCAAATTGTTGACAATTTTTTTCCTTCTTTGACAGTAAAAATGTTTCAGAGACGAGTTCCTCGGTGACAGTCCCAGAATCCGAGAGGATAGACCCAGGGGTGCTGGGAAGCGCCTGGCTCTGGCCACGGACTGAGGGGAGTCACCACCTCAGGGACCCGTCCCTGCGCCTGTCTGTCTGTCTTGCTGAGCAGTGCACAGATCACCTGAGATGACGGGTGGGCCCTGCGTACCCCGTGCCTGCCCTCCAGACCCCATCGACCGCATGGAGGAAGCGCTCCCCACTGCTGCCTGCCCCACAGGCTCAGCTCCATCTGGCCACTGAGGAGGACGGATTGTCAGAAGCACATCTGCAATCCAAGCTCTTTGTGCAGGTAGAACGATAGCGCTGCCATAAACACTGCAGTTTAGAAAGAGGAAAAGGCAAGGCCCACTTTCGGAGGGACCTGCCCAGCGGGCGCCGGGAGGACTATTCTCCACACGCAAGTGCAGACCATTCACTGCACCAGCTCTTTCCCAGCGAATAAAATACACCTTCAGATCTTTGCAGACGTCGCCTCTTCGGCTCCTACACCCCACTGGGTTTTTATTTTGGAAATCTAGTGTCAGAGCTGTTCATAGGCAGCTTGTTTTACTCTGTGAATACAGTGTGGGGAGATTTTTAAAATTAGGTTCCAGTTTTTCAGGCACAACGTCACTGGCAAAGGCTGGGGTCAGAGAGGAGGCTTTCTGCTGGTCCTCAGCAATGCCAGATCGAAACCAGGTGTGTTTAATACAAGCATTTACGCGAGGCCCCGGCCTAGAGCCTGCAGGTGTCAGCTCTGCCACCCAGGAGCAGCTAAATGAAGAGAAACCACTTCTTTCCTCGTTCACAGATACCATCTTCTAGGTGTCAACGCTCCCCATTACAAAGGTGCTTCACATACCGGCGCAGGCAGGGCTTGCTGGGCCCTTTCCTCACTGTCGCTGTGACTCTGGGTCAGTTCCTTAGACTTATGTGCCTTAGTTTTCTTATGGATTTAAAACAATCTCTGTGTCCTGAGTCTGATATGAGACTAAATGATAAGGCGTGGATTTCAGCCCAGAGCGAGCTGTGCGACAGGAAGCGCAGGATGCTCAGCCTGCGTGTGCAGGGCAGACGGTAAGGAATGGCCACCCCAGGGCCGGATGTGGTGGAACCAGACATGGGGACAGTGTTGCTGAACTTCAGAGAGGCCGCCACCCAGGACAGGATGACGAAAGTTTCTTCTCACCCCTTATACCATGTTTATCAAATACAATGGTTTCACAGAGTCAAGCAAGCTGTCTAACAGGCAGAGTGAGGGCTGGCAGGAGCTGAAGGAACACGGGGTCGCTGTCAGGTGAGAGGAGACAGGAGACAGGCAGGAACCAACTTGGATTTTCGTGTGAGAACTTAGGTGACCAGCCATCGTTCCTACCACTCCTGACCGAGGTCGAAGCTAACTGGCTGCCCCGTGGCCCGAAACACAATGTCCAGGTCCCATTTGGCTAACTGCCGGCCTGAGGCTGAGCTGTGAGCTGCCTGTCAAACTGCAGGGGGACTTTCCGGGGTGCAGACTGCCAGCTCGGGTCCCTGGGGGAGTCGTTTTGACAGTGAGGTGGACTATTTAAAACAGTGGTTCTCAACCTGTGGGTCGCGACCCCTTTGGGGGTCGAACGATCCTTTCACAGGGGTCGCCTAAGACCATCGGAAAACACACATATAATTACATATTGTTTTTGTGATTAATCACTATGCTTTAATTATGTTCAATTTGTAACAATGAAATTGGGGGTCACCACAACATGAGGAACTGTATTAAAGGGTCGCGGCATTAGGAAGGTTGAGAACCACTGATTTAAAAACACCTGTCTGAGGAATAAAGGCAGACAGCTCAGAGCTCCAGTCTATTTGACTAAAAGGCAAAGCTAAGGAGCGGGGCCTTCAAAGTGCTGACCAGAGGGGACACCAGGCCGTTTCCTCGGTTCCCCGAACACTGCCAGCGGGGGCGCACTGGAGCCCACAGAACAAAGGCCCGCGTCCCCGGCGGCCCGCCCCTCCGCCTCCGCCTCTGCCGGCAGCGGCTGCGATGCCCGCACTCACCAGGAGATGGCGGCTGCAGCTTGGGCTGCTTCTTGGTCTCCCCGGTGCTGAAGACTTCTGGCGGCGGCTCCTCCCCGCGCTCGATCTTGCACTCAAAGGCAAACAGGTACTGGATGTACTGCTTTTTCAGGGAGCTCGCTGCACTGCTCGAAGTGCCAACATTTAGGTTGGTTGCCAGCTCACGCCACTTCTTGTTTTTATTAACCTGGCAAAAAAACACCCAAACGGCAGGATCATTGGTTTGCAGCAAAGTGGCTTGTTTAAAGCTGGGAGACAAAAAAAAAAGCACTTAATGTCCTGGTTTACTTTTTCCATTTGCCTCTTTAGCTAATGCTCGTTACTCCCACTCCGTAGAGCAAAGGCAGCATTCAGTTATGAAGCCATTAAGGAACCTGCTGGTGGGGACATGAAAAGCATCGCTTGTCCAGACTTTGCTGCCTGGGCCCCCGACGCCTCGCCCTCCTCCAGAGCCAGCGGGCGGCCAGGGATGGGTCTGAGCAAACGCACTCTCGCGCACACTCGGCCCCGTCCCACCTCTAGTGAAAATTTTAAAAAAGGTGTCTAAAACCCATTTGAAAAGCAGCAACAGAACTATTTTGTAAGTGAAGTGTTTCAGCCTTGATAATAAAAACGGTGTTCCCTTCCAACAAGCTCCCAGAAAGATGGGCCTCTGAACCTGGCGCGTCCACCCTCTCACGAGGCTGTCTTGTGGGGTTGGGCAAAGACAACACTGGGTGCAAAGGTCAACAAGGCCCTGAGCAAATCACCCCAACTTAAATGCCCGGCACCAGCCGTGGGACCTGGCAGCCCTGTGACCCGCCAGCCGGCCTCCGGGCAGGCAGCTGGGGCTCGTGAAGGGCAGGAGCAGGTGGGACTCCCAGGGCTCCCTTCCTCTCAGGCAGGAGAGAAGACAGTTGCAAAAACAGAAGAGAAAAAACAATCCCGCAGTGTTATGTAGGATTTTAGGCTTTATTGCCACCTTTTGATTTCCACTGGGGAACAGAGTTATGGAAGGTTTAAACACAAGAATGAAACATGAAGACCTGCAAAAACGAGGGATTATTCTGCCTTCACGTGCGTCCTGGATTCAACAGCTTGGGTAAGGGTTAAGGGCACAAGTGGTTTGTAATGAAATGTTAAATTTTTGGATTCAAACTTTCTCACAAAGCTCTTTATATCCATTTACTTAGTACTAAATGGTGCATGATAAACCGCACACGCTCACGGAAGTGCCTAATGCTACTCTTGGTGCTTAATGCCGGCCGGCAGCAGGCAGGCTGTGGATTGCTGCAGAAACTCGGCAGAGGGCTGCCTGGGGCTCCCTGAGAAGCGAGGCGTTGAGCTGAGCTGTGTGGCTGCAGCTGCTCCAAGCACCTCTGATGGTCACCAGGCAGAGATGAAGATGGGTGTGAGTGGCCAATGCCAAGCGCGCACCACTGAGTCACAGCTACATCCAAGCACCCTATTAGCCAGACCAGCAGTCTCGCTGGCAGACCCAACCCTAGCGCACACAGCTAGTCAGAGTGAGGTCCAGACAAACTACACTGCTATGGTGGTGACCCCAACTGCTTAGTATCCTGGGGACTAAAACATCCGTGCGGGAGGTCTAGGGGCAGAGGGAGAGGCCAGGGGTCTCAGTGCAGAGGGGACGTGCATCTTGATTCTCCCCTGGCCGACGTGGTGTGATTTACCACGTGATCATGCAGGGCCGCGCCCCAAGCTGTTTCAGTTGCAGTCCTCAGGGCCCTGTGCATGGGAAGGGGCACCCCAGGCAGAACAAAGGCCTCTCCTGCACACCCCCCAGCCCCCGTGTGCAGCACTGGAACCAGGTGAGACTCGTGGGTTAGATGACGTGCCCTTGGATAGTTTGTGACCTGTGCCACCTGGGCCACCTGTGTAGACCACCGGGCCCACAGGCGCTCCCTTCACTGCTCTGGGTGGGGCCCAGGTGTTGACAGATGTGAAAAGCTGCCCAGGTGACTCAAATGCAGAGCTAGGCCTGCGAGCCACTGGTGATGGGGAGCAGCTGCCCTCGGAGTCCAGGGCCACACCAACACGGCACTTCATTTTGTTAGTTTCCTCAAGTCTCCTTTGGGACTGGTGACCTCTGCACTGATAGGGATTTAGGACAAAGGCAACCTCCTGCGTGAGGCCTGCACCCAGCAGGCAGGGAGCCCTGAAGAGGGCAGCCCCAGGCAGGCACCTGCACCCCTGAAAACAAGCGCCTCCTGAAGCTCCGCCCCCGGAACCACCTGCTCCCTCCAGTCCCAGCCAGGGGACCAGTGACAGGGACATGGTTTTATGGCTTCGTTTCCTTGATAAATTGCTCTGGACAACTGAAACAGTGAACTTGATTTATACCTGATTCAGACAATTCATTTGATCATTCACAAGACTTTTCTGGAATATTTACTATGAAATCCTGGCAGATCCCACAGAACTCCACGGCCGTCAGGATCCTAAAGAAAAATCTAGCCCAAATGTCTCACTTTACAGATAAGGACTGAGGTC